CTATGACCAAAAAATTAATGTTAACAAACATACTTTGATTCTCCTTTTGATGTATTGATCTCTTTGTCCTTTAGATCAAACAAAATATCCTCTAAGCGTTTAATTTGTTTCTCTTTATCTTCAAGGCTTGACAAAAGTTGCATGCTTCTTTGCTTTTCCTAGGTAATACAAAGTTCGCTTTTATGTGTATGTATTCATTTCAAAAACCTCACTGTTACATAAAATACGGAGAGTCGAAACCAAGGTGGTCAAAACACATATGTAGTATAAGTATTACCAATCTATGATCATCTAAAAGTTGCTGATAGTGCTTCTCAGATTTCTTTATCTCCATGCGGGTTTCATCTTTACAAAGATGCAATCTCCCCTCCAGCTGGTTAATTTGCCCCTAGGAGAAAATATGGAAAAAATTATACCTAAGTCCAAAATATCTTTCAAGAAGCATTAATATTGCACAGTTTTTGTGCACCTGAAGAATGTGGATAAAATCTTCATCTCTAACGCCCTTGTCCGTAAGCAGTTGAATGCGTGATTTGCAAGAACTTATCTCAGTTTCCAGCACTTTAATACGAGCCTTAGCAGCATCCAACTTACGAATGTGTTCATTAAGTTGCTGTTGAACAGCACGTGCCTCTTGCTGAGCACTTTCTAAGGATGCCTTCCGTTCTTTTGCTGAGCACTTTGGCCCATCACATGAATGGGATAAGCTATCTATTTCAAAAATTTAAACACTGAAGTAACATTGGAACACACTTTGAGGCAACACATTTAAGAGGATTATTTACTTGATAAAAACTTAAAACTAGATTCTACCACACACAATAATTACCATATATGCGGAAGTCAGAGCTCTTCTTAATTCGGTCTGTGAGCTCTGCCACTCGCAGCTGCAATACATGGATTTGTTGAGCCCGACCTCTCCAGCCACTAGTACTGCCTCCTCCCGAAATAAGATCCGAAATGGAAATTCCCTCCCCAACTTCACACAAGAGAACCTTGCCAAACACAAACATTCTGTTAGTTTTATAGTTTTTGCTTCTTACAATAATTGTATGAGTGAGGCTGGAAAGAAAACCTACCTTGTGGGCATTTTTAAGTTCTTGCTGAAGATGCTGAACTTTGTTGCGGCATTCAAATAGTTTGCCATTGGTGGCACTTAGCTTTTCAGACAAAGATTTAATTTCTGCTTCTTTTCTTGTAAGAATCTCTGGAAAAATGTTAGATGTTAGCCTTACAAGAAAATTTGTCTACTATTGACTTGGGATGAGTCATGTTATTCCTGTATAAAAATTGTGTACAACCAAAAATGCATGTAACACATGATCAGAAAAATTTATTGCTGTAAAAATTTAATTTAAAGTCTTCAAACCTGGAGAAACAGGTTCTATTTCTTCTTGGGACTCAATAAAAGACACAAGTTTGTTCTCTGCAAGCGAGCATCTGCACTTCTGCTCCTCTAACTGAGCTGTTAGCTCACACACCTGAATTAAAATAACAACAAAACCAAAATCATAATAAACCTAATTATTTCATTCTATTCTAAAAATAGTTCTTCATATTGTCTACCTGTTTAGAAAGCTCCATGACACGACATGCTGCCATGTCAGCATGACGTATTGAGCTCAAGCCAAGAAGCGGGGAGGGATGGTGAAGTGGCAAACCATTTTCTGACAGTTCCAAGTTCTGTAACTTTTCACGCATTGATATTACCTCATCATCTTTCTCCTTGAGTAAAGAAGCCAGTTGCTTATTTTCCTCAATAACGCTCTGAAAAAATACATATGTCACAAGGAATTTAACCAAGAATTATAGACTCTTTTGTTTGAACAATTAATAATTACAAGAAGGCACTACAAACCTTTAATCTGTCCTGAAGATAAACATTATATTCTCCTGGGAAAAGCATATCCTGAGGAATGTCGCAGACTTCCAGTTGCTGGAAAGTAAAGCCCATCCCACATCCACATCAAGACAATAACAGGTAACGTACAGTGACTAAAAACCGCATTTTCGATTAGTAGATAAGGCATACGTCTAATCCAAGATTATCTTCAACATTAATCTGCAGTGTCTTTAAATCTGTCAATTCTGTTTTTGAGGTTGGGTCTTTCTTCATACTACTTCGTTTAGACCTTCCTTTCAGACGACAATTACGTTGAATTGTTGTACAAGTAGTTATCGTATCAACAGACATCACTGACAGGTAAATTGAAGGAGTTTAATCAAAGATTGCAGAGTTTCAAAAATCAGTCAGCAGTTTCATACGTTTTAAAATAAGTCCGCCTTTTGGAAATCACCGCCATTTTGAAACCCTGGCTGGGGACGTACCCGGTTAATCATTCTTTACAGTCTGTTACAGTTTTCTTTAGCTCCAATATTTAAAGCTATCTGGAAAGACTAGCCGTAAATTTAACAACTTTATTCATGTCCCGGTAATTTTAGACAAGCTTGTGAACGGAAATAATCACAAACTGTTCCCTTCATTTTTTTTCTAGCCAACCAGTCAGAAGAAGAACAAGAGAAAGTCGCGAGAAGAAAGAAGTAAACACACGCCGGCCGCTTCCAAACCAAACTTATTTCTCTGTGTTGTTTACACTCTGATTTGTTTCCCATTGTAGTGCTAAATTCGAGTGCTTTGTGTTTTATTTCGTTGGAAGCCGATCACCTCTTCGCCCATTCAAAATGACGAGCGGAATGTTGTACGGAGGTGATGAGATAGGAGCGTTGGTCTTCGACATAGGCCATCACTCCCTTCGCGTAGGTTATGCTCAGGAAGATTCGCCTAAAGCTGAAATTCCTGCTGTCGTGGGCATCGCTGAAGATGGAAACTCAAACGCTGTTCCTCAGACTGACGCGATGGACATTGACGACAAAATGCCAGACAGTAACATTACTCAGAACAAATATTTCATAGACACTACGATCCTCCATGTAGCCAGGAAGGGTATGGAAGTGACAAGTTATATGAAAGATGGCATGATTGACGATTGGGATCTTTTTGAGAAAGTACTAGACTATACGTATGGCAAGAGCATTCAGTCCCAGTCAGAATTACACCCTGTACTGATGTCGGAGGCTCCTTGGAACATAAGAGGCAAACGAGAGAAGCTGACAGAAATTATGTTCGAGAAATACAATGTACCTGCATTCTTTCTGGTAAAAAACGCAGTTCTTGCTGCCTTTGCTAATGGAAGAGCCACAGGTATGTTATATATTCCAATTTTTTCAACCTTGCCCCTTTCTTACTAATTTTTCTTAATTGTCAATGAAATAAATTTGCCTTTGTTGCTCACTGTATCACTAAAGCGATCATAGTGCGACTAAGACCCGTATATTTTATCTGACAAATCTAAATATAGACTTTTATTATGCAGTCTATTCATTTGTGAAACCAAAGGAATAATTTGTTGTTGTACTCTATTGTGTTACAGCTCTTGTTGTTGACAGTGGAGCAACACATACTTCCGCAGTTCCAGTGCAAGACGGATTTGTTCTGACACAAGGAATTGTAAAATCCCCCTTGGGAGGTGATTTTATTAGCATGCAGTGCAAACAGTACTTACAGGTAAATACATTTCCAAGATCACAATATATTATTTTTATGCTGTGAAACCCTGTTATCCTATATTGCATGTCATGTTGTTGTACTGTATGTCATAAGCAGGAAACTACATATTTGTAGGTTTCACTGCTTTATCTTGCTTGTGCTAATCATTTTCCTTTAAATTTCAGGACAATGACATTGATTTGACTCCTTCTTACATGATTGGTAGTAAGGAGGCTGTAAAAGAAAAGGAGAAGCCTCGGTATGTCAAGAAGAAGGTTATTCCCGAAGTAACTCAGTCATGGCACAATTACATGACCAAGAAAATTATACAAGATTTCCAAATCACTGCTCTTCAAGTATCTGAAACCCCATATGATGAAAAAGCTGTTTCCTCAATTCCATCTGTACATTATGAGTTCCCCTCTGGATATCATCAGGTACATTTCAGTATTCTCTTGATTTATTTTCACCATTGTCTTTTTCAAATTAATGATAATGGATTTAAATGTTACTCTTTTCCCCAGGATTTCGCCAATGAACGTTTCCACATCCCAGAGGCACTTTTTGACCCAAGTGTTGTGCCCATGCGAGGTGGTGTTGTTGGTAATACCATGCTGGGTGTTGGACATATTGTAACAACGAGTGTTGGAATGTGTGATCCAGATGTAAGGCCAGCACTCTATGGAAGTGTTGTAGTCACAGGTGGAAACTCTTTCATCCAGGTTAGTGCCACAGGCCCCTAGGCATAGTTCCTTTTTTTCTCTTGTCTATCTCTCACACATTCGTAAATTTTTCTTTTCTATTCTCTAGGGATTCCCAGAGCGTTTGAACAGAGACTTGTCCATGCGCATTCCTGCTAGTATGAGATTGAAGATGATCAGTGCTAACGGGTGCAGCGAAAGGCGGTTTGGAGCATGGATTGGAGGCTCTATTCTTGCATCAATTGGTACTTTCCAACAAATGTGGATTTCTAGCCAAGAATATGAAGAAGCAGGGAAAGGACAAGTAGATAGAAAGTGTCCATAAGTATTGAATACATGTTGGGTCCATTTAATTTTTAATTTCTTTTTGTAAAATTTTGTCACCAAACATATTTTGCTTCTTGGATTCTTGGTTTTAAAGAGTTTATGCTCATGTACATTTGAACAAATCTATTATTTCCTCTATTCTTTGGGGAAAGTTTGTCCTCGTTTGTACTCAGAAGATCTAGAAGTATTGATTTCTTGGAAAATCAATTTTATCTGGTGAAGATTGTACTTTTATCCATTGTGATTTATTTTCGTTTTGTAAGAATCTTGTCTTGATTATCAGTATAGTGTGTGCATGTGTGAGTGTAAGTATGTATGTAGGCAGGCCTATTTGGTAGCTCTGTAATAATCATTGATGAAAACCAATAATGATAATCTGTTCTAACTTTTAAAGGTACTTAAGAACAGCTTTCATATTTATCTAGAAATTGCCAAGCTTATAATTTGTAATAATGAAATAATGCTATTCCCAATGATTTGTTAAAAAGTCCTGAGGATCAAGTGCATGCATTGCCAATGATAATTGGTCATATTGAAACAATTTAAAGAATTAAATACTTGTTCTGCAATCTGCTCCATGGTAGTGAACAAGATACAGACATTAAAATTATGAACCTATACCATCCGGTATAAATACTTGAATTGTAAATAGTATTGAATAAATCATTCTACTGTATTTTAGTGGAAATTTCATTTTACAATTTTGAGTTAAAGGTACACATGACCTAGTTTGTCCATTATGTTCGTGTTGACAATCTCTTTCCAAACTTTTATAATTTCTTTATTCATAATTACTTAAAACAAACAAGATGATGAATCTTAGATAATAGAAATGAAGAATGCAAAGATAATTTACTAGTTTGTGACAAATTCCATTCACTATGCACTGTGATTTAAGAATGAGTTATCAAGTTTTCGCCCAAAATAGACAAAATTAAAACGTTACACAAATGCTGCTGGAGTAAGTAAGTAAGACTTTGACATAAATTAGTGCAGCCAAACCTATTGCTGTACAGTGAATGGTAGGCAGTGGTGATTAGTTTAAACACAGCCATCTAGAGGCGCCATGCTTGTCGCATCATGAGGTCAAAGTATCCATCTTCGTCAATGGAGGAACTCACTCCTGAATAGTAATTGATGAATTCCTCCTCTGTCACCTGAAAAATTGCAATTAATTTAAATATAACTTTTGACACATTATCTGCATCAGCTAAGATTATTGTTGGTCTTACCTTTCCGTCAGAGGCATTCTCAGTGTCAAAGTTACTAAGAAACTTGTCCAAAATCTGTTCCTCTGTGAGTTCTCCACTTTGAAACTGTGGGTGAGCCTTCACAGAGTAGACGTTTCGCAAATCGTCTACGGTGATGACTCCGTCCCCAGTCTTGTCCATCTTCTGAAAGGCCTGACGAATGAGGCTCAACCTGTTCTCTGACAGTGGAGGCTGCAACACAGGAAAATGAAGGATTATCGACTCCTGGAAGATACTCCTCCAGGATACTCCTCGCTGCAGAGACACTGAGAGTAGGAGGGCGGGGTATCTACGAGGAAAAGCACGGTGTATTTCCTGTCCCCACAGTCTACGTTCACGCCACGGTCACAGTAAATGTTGAACTAATGTTCGGAAAGGTGGCCGTCGGTCCCATAACAAGCAAAAAGAGGAAGAAATAAGGTATCACCAAAGGTTCTTTAGTTGTTGTTGTTTTTTTTTGTTTTTTTGTTTTGTTTTGTTTTACCTATCCTGATAAAATAAATCAAGAAGAGCAGTAACAGTAGCGACTCGGTTATTAGCTTTCCTTAGGTTTTCTAGTTTTGTTTTATGGACTTTTAAAAATGTACACACCTTTAACATTTTATGAAAAGTTACGAAAGAATGACAGAGCCCAGTCAGGCGACCCCCTCCCTAAGCCAGCCAGGGACAGGTAGGCAGCGCCGCACGGCACGTGAGTGTTGCGTGTCGCCGCAGCGGAGGCGATGGAGGGGACCGAGCAG